CGCGGGCGCGGGGCGGCCTCTCGTGGCGGGACCGAGCTGCAGCCGGGCAGGACGCTTTAGTCTCCTCAGGGGCCGTGTCCTATTTAAGTCGTCCCGGGATTTTAAGCTCGAGAAAGGATTGGTCCCCGCAGTCTAGATAACAATCCCATTATTTCTACCGAGGCAAGTACAGGCCGTTTTGCGAGCGCTCTCTCTGACAGTTCAGCAGCTACTGGACTATCCAAGGTTGCTACTAAATGCAGCCCTCCCCCCAGATAAGCAGTTAACGTTTGGGTGCACATCTGAATACTCAGCCAGGATATTAGAAGTGATGGTTCCCACAGCAACTGTCACTCAGTGCTGGTGCACAGAGGGCTGTTGCACAGATGTGAAATGCTGAGTTTGTCATATGGCAAGATTAGTCACATACTGAAACGGAGCTGTATTTGTTTCCATGCTAGGTTCCCCAGGTATACATGTTTGAAGGCTTAAAAATAGATCTGACATTTTACAGAACGCAATGCCATCTGCAGTGCTGCGAGTTAGAAAAACAATTACTAGGACTAATGAGTCCTCTATTATCAGGAATTAAAACGGGGTTAGCAGAGCAGGGTGAAAGCCTGGAGCATGCCTTTATATGCATGGCACTACAGCCATCCCAGCCTTGAGTTATCTTGCTTTTTCAGTGAGTCTTGTGGCCTTCAGCACAGTTCGGTTACTCAGAATACTTGGTCTCTGATTAAGCTGGTCCCTTCTGGGATAGTCAGACTCCAGAGGAAAACATCAATTTTGGACCACAGCTGGGCACAAAACTGTCTTTATTTTTCTCTTCCCAGAATCAACTTCCTTCTAGTCCTATTAGCTTGCGGTTGGTCTCTTCTTTCTCAACAGCAGATGTCTTTGCAGCATTTTCCAGGGTAGTGACATAAGAGAAGCCTGCAAACACCTTTTGAATGAGTAGGTGCTTGCACCACCACTGTGGGGAGTCTATTCCAGACCTTGGACACTCGGACTGTAAAGAAGTTTTTCCTTATATTGAGTCTGAATCGGCCTTCTAGAAGTTTGTGGCCATTAGACATAGTTATCCTTTGGGTAGCCCTTGTGAATAACTATTCCCTTTGGGTCCAACCTCAGAGCCAGTTCCCCAGCCATCGGACCATGAGATGGTTAAGGCCACAGTTCCCCAGCTTGGTCATGAGGACATCATGGGAGACCAAGTCAAAGGCTTTCTTGAAATCCAGATAAATGACATCAACCTCGTCTCCCTTGTTTAGGCAATGCATCACCTGGTCATAGAAGAAGATGAAGTTGGTCAGGCAAGACCTTCCAGTAATAAAACCATGTTGGCTGGTATGTAGTAGGTTGCCTTCTGTTAGCCTGTTGCAGATGGATCCCTTGATAATTTTCTCCAAGATCTTTCTGGGATGGATGTGAGACTGATAGGTCTGTAATTCCCTGGATCTTCCTTCCTCCCTTTCTTGAAGATTGGGACCACATTGGCTCTTTCCTACTCTTTTGGTACATCACCCAAGCACCACAAGCTTTCAAATACCTTGGCCATAGGGCATGCTATGATGTCTGCCAGCTCTTTTAAGACTCTCATGTGCAATCTGTCTGGGCCCGCAGACTTATGGATGTCAGGTCTCTCAAGGTGTTGTCTCACTTGATCTACTTCAATTGTGGGCCCATCTCCCAAGCCCTGGATGCTTTTCATCCTGTCTGACAGCATGACCCCCTTGGGCAGGTGGAAAATTGATGCAAAGTAATCATTTAGGAGATTGGCCTTTTCTTGGGTGTCAGATGTCAGCTGCCCCATTTGATCTTGTGAGTGGCCAGTGTTGCTTTTGTTCCTCCTCTGACTTCCTACATATCTGAAGAACAACTTTTTGTTATCCTTGATTCTGGTGGCTAGCCTGAGTTCGGTTACTGCTTTCGCTTTTCTGACTGCTCCCTACAGGTACGGGCTAGTGCTGAATAGTCCTCCTTGGCGATGATTCCAGTTTTCCATCTGGTGTAGGCTTCTACGTTTCAGGAGACCCAGAAGTTCCTTGTTAGCCAAGGAGGCTTCCCTGCCCTCTGACTAAAGTCATAGACATTTAAGGTTGGAAAGGGCCTCAGGGGGTCATCTAATCCAACCCCCTGCTCAAAGCAGGACCAAACTAAGGATTTGCTTAGCTGGTTGGATGTGGGGTTAGTGGGGTGATGCTGAGAGGGAGGGAGGAGGGGTGGTTTCTCCCCTGCCGGGTGACTGCCTCACAACTGGGTGTGGGGCAGGGCGCAGATTCTCCTGAACCCTACTTTGCTCTGATGCCATATGGGAGAGCAGGGGAATTTTCCCCTCCCCTTCTTTGCGCAGTGAGGCAGAGTGGGGCTTAGGAGACCCATGCTAGGTACCTGCCCCCACAGTCAGGTGTGGGGTGCAAGGTACCCCCACCTCAGGGGTTTCCCCCCACCCGGCATGGGTCTGCTGAGCCCCACTCTGCCCCAATGAGCAGAGAAGGGATGGGGGAAATTCCCCTTTGCTCCTGCAGTCCAGTCTTCAGAGAATGGGGCATAGCAGGTATGAGGCTTGAGCACCCCCTCCGCACACTGGGATCTGGTCTCACTCCAGCCCAGCTTCCCCAGGAGACAGACAAGTTTGCCTATCCCAGAAGAGAAATAACGGCTTTATAAACTGGCCCAGGAGCCTGAATGTGCCTCTGCCCAAAGCTCCTTCTCCCCATGCAGCAGGACACTCCAAGGACTCACTGGACTGCTCTGTGGGT